CTGCTTCTCCCTCTGACCCTCCTCCCTCTCATGCTCTCTGTCTCTCATTCTCTCTCAAATAAATAAATAAATAATTAAAAAAAAAAAAATGAGCAAGTGTACCCAAAGAACTCCTTTATTAGAATGATCAGACACAGAATATAAAGTGCTTCAGTAGAAGAGAGACTTGAAAACCCACTCTCAAAAGACCAGGAATATTTTTTAAAGATTCAATTAAAATATGTAGAAATGAAACACATAAAATTAAACACTTTAGATGGATTGAACGGCTAGTTAGGTGTGCCTGAAGAGAGAATGAATGAATTTAGAAGATGAACAGGTTACTTTAGAAAGACAGACAAAGGGAGGGAGGGGGAATGCTGAAAAGGCAGGGTACAGTGGGAAGATCTAATCTCAGTTCGCTCTGTTGGCGAAGGAAAGAATCGGAGTGATAAAGAGGTGATGGTGCGTTATTTTTCAAAGTCAGTGAAAACGCAGATAAGCATGCTCACAGATCCTGAGGTGGAGAAATAAAAGAAAAACCCACACCAATGCACACTGTAGTAATGCTTCAGGATACTAAAGACAAAGGTTTTAAAGGAGCCAGAGAAAAGACTACCTACGAGAGAGGTGCAGTTAGCTAGTAGGAATAAAACCGACGATGGAACAGTGTCTTCCCTGTGCTGAAGAATGGGAGCTGTCCATCTAGAAGCAAGCGCCCAAGAGAGAAGGTGAAATAAAGACCTTTCAAACAGCTGGGGTCCTTTACCACCAACAGTCTGTGCAAAGTCAGCGTCAGCCTTTTCACATTGTTTGGGCAATCCTAAGTATTACATGACATACTGCTTTCTTGGATAAAGGCTTTTCATGACTGTGAATATTCAGCCGTGAATATTCAGGTCTACTGTGTTTTGGGTGCAGTATTGTGTAGTTTCCGGATGTTAACTCATTAAAACCTTACAGCCCACATTTCATAGATGAGGAAACTGAATCACTTACACAGACTAGCGTGTGGAACCCAGGGTGTATAGATAGGCGGCCGGGCTCCAGAGCCCCTAGGTTTGGTTTTGTTTTTTAACTGTTTGGAAGTACTTTCCCACTTTCAGAAAATTCTCAGGAATAAAATACCTGTATCATCTTAAACCATATTCACTAATTGTTAGTGTCTCCATTTGCTTTATCATTTGCTTTCAAGTGACACAGCTTTTTTTCCTGAACCATTTTAAAGTCGGTTTCATCCCTGTGTGCTTTACCGCTAAGTACTTCATGTGTATCTCTTGAGAAGAGGCTCTTCTCTTTCTGTAAGGACAGTGTTACAAGCTTCAGTGAATTTCGCACTGATTTAGTAATGTCTATCTTCCAGCTGTACCGTGTGCTCTCCAGTGTTCTTCATAGTGTTTCCCCCCTGTGCTCCAATATCCAGGCCAGGATCAGCTCTTACACGTAATTATGTTGCTCGAGTCTCCCTTCATCTGGACTGTTGTTTCCTCAGCCTTTGTCTTATGACATTCCTGAAGAGTGCTGTCATCCCTGTTCTGCACCTTTTATTTATTTATTTATTTTTAAAGATTTTATTTATTTATTTGACAGAGAGAGACACAGCAAGAGGGGGAACACAAGCAGAGGGGGAGTGGGAGAGGGAGAAGCAGGCTTCCCGCAGAGCAGGGAGCCCAATGCGGAGCTTGATCCCAGCACCCTGGGATCACGACCTGAGCCGAAGGCAGACGCTTAACAACTAAGCCACCCAGGCGCCCCTCCCTGCACCTTTTAAAAAATAGAATGCTCCTCATTTTGGGTTTGTCTAATGTTTCCTAGTTGTTAGAGTCAGGCTATGCATTCCCAGCTGGGGTACTCCATAAAAGTGATGTGATGTCCTTCTCAGAGTGTCCTATAACAGACGCGCATCATATCATTTGCCCTTTGTGGTTATGTTAATTTTGATCAGCTGGTCAAGGTGTTGTCCAGTTTCTTCACTGTATATTTTCTGTTTCTTAGATACTGGAGATCACAGAAATGCCCTGCTCCTCACCAAAGTTTTCTCCTATATTTAGTGCTAACTGATGCTTTTGCCTGAACCAGTTTTTCTAGGATTGTGAAGTAATTTTCCCATCCAGCACTCAACACATTTACCAGTTAACACGTGACATTGATTGTACTATAACCAGGAGCTTTTGCCTTTCTCCTATTTATTTACCTATTTATTACCAGTATGGACTCATGCATTCCTTTGTATCTTTTCCAAAAGTTTAAAATTCATTACTTACGTTGGCGTAGAGCCAGTCCATTCCTACATCCATTAGCTCTATGTTTTTCAAACTTTTTTGACCATAACCTGTGATAAAAAGTGTTTTTCATTGAGTACACATATACATATGCACATGTGACGCAAACATTTCCCAAAATAATACTCCTAACATGCAGGATGCACGCTGATATCTTTCTGTTCTATTTTATTAGTTTTTTAAGGTTGGTCATGATTACTAAATTTAATTCATAGCTTACAAGAAAATTTTTTAAAGATTTATTTATTTTAGAGAAAGAGCGGGGGGCGGGGAGCTTGGTTGTGGAGGGACAGAGGGAGAGGAAGAGAGAATCTTTTTTTTTTATTTGACAGAGAGAGAGAGAGAACAAGTAGGCAGAGAGGCAGGCAGAGGGAGAGGGAGAAGCAGGCTCTCCGCCAAGCAGGGAGCCAGAGGTGGGGCTCAATCCCAGGACCCCAGGATCATGACCTGAGCTGAAGGCAGCCGCTTAACCGACTGAGCTATCCAGGCGCCCCTAGGAAGAGAGAATCTTAAGCAGACTCCACACTGAGTGCAGAGTCCGACATGGGGCTCTATCTCATGACCGTGAGATCATGACCTAAGCCAAAACCAAGAGTTGGATGCTTAACCGACTGTACCACTCAGGCACCCCTTGTCCACGAGAAATTTAAAATCATTTGTCTATGCTATATTGACATTTAGAGGTGACTTTTGATTTCTTCTGAGGCTCCACTTTTTCCCCCCTCTTAACTTTCTATTATGGAAAATTACAAACATACAAAAGTAGAATGATATAATAAACCCTTATATATCCATCACTGAGCTTTATGAGTTATCACTACATAGCCAATATTCTATATCCCTTTGGATTACTTAGAGCTAATCTTAGACATCAGAGCATTTCATCCATAAAATACTTCAGTATGTCTCTAAAGATAATGACTTTTTAAAAAAAATTCATATCACCACACCTAAAATAATTCTTTAATATATATATATATATATTTTTTTTTATGAAAAAAGATTTTTATTTGTTATTTGAGAGAGAGAGAGAGCACAAGCAGGGGGAGCTGCAGAGGGCGATGGAGAAGCAGGCTCTCTACCAAGCAGGGAGCCTGAAAGGGGCTCGATCCCAGGATCCTGGGATCATGACCTGAGCCGAGGGCAGACGCTTAACTGATTGAGCCACCCAGGTGCCCCTATATATTTGTAATCAGTGGTTAAGTGATTATCTCATAAATGCTTTTTTAGGGTCCAAATCAGGATAAAATAAGGTCCAAGCATTGCATTACTAGTATCTTAGGCAGTCCCTTAACCGACTGAGCCACCCAGGCGACCTGTATCTTAGGTCTTTTAAAATCTATAGAGAATCCTATTTTCTTAACTAGGTTCTTGCTGCATGTAGACAATTATTTGTTGAATGAAGCAGTGAACATGTTATGCCTTTAGGTTCGGCGTTGGGCTATCCTGACCGCAAGAAATTTGGGAAAAGTGGACAGAGATGATTATTATGACTTGCAGGAGGTTTTGACTTGCCTTTTTAAAGTCATTGAATTGGGGCTTTTGGAAAGTCCAGACATTTATACTTCTTCTGTCCTCGAGAAGGGTAAACTGATTCTTCTGCCCTCACACATGTACGATACCACCAACTACAAAAACTATTGGTTAGGTAAGTACTGTTCCTACACAAATATAACTAGTATTTTTCATGATTCTTAATGAGTATCCTGCAAAGGAAGTGGTTTCTTGGTGATCTGATCAAGGATTTCATAGTTCCCAATTCTTGTTCTGTTGTTAAATTGACTTAGCCATTACACATCCTGTTTTTAAACATTATTTATCCTAGAAACCATCTTTGTAAGAGGTACATGTTCGAGTATGGCAACTAAATCTTTAAAGCAATACTATATGTAACAAGATAATAGTATAACAGTTGACTTTAATGGGGTTTGATATATTTTAAAGAGATTTTCCCATCTGTAAAATATTGCCTGGTTGAAAGAGATAATAGCTTTCGTTTTTCAACAAGTTCCACTGACTCAAAATAGTTCTACCCTACTTTACTGATTCTGAGTCTTATAGTCATGTGTCATATTTGGCAGTGATGAGTACTCAGAATATGGTGATCTTAAAATTGAAGGCACCTTAGATTTGAGGAAATACAAATTGTGTGGTAGTCGTCATAGCAATTGTTTTCTAACCCGTTCGTACCATTTTCCCTTTTTACTTTCAAGTCAGTCTAAAGTCCTGTTACTTGGGAGCAGTTGTGTATGACTGTCTCAGACTTAAATGTTTGAGGAACTGGATACTGGTTTGCTTCATTTTACCGCCTTGTTATTCTTTTTTTTATAATTTTCTTAAGGATTTTTATTTATTGAGAGAGAAGGATAGAGAGAGCATGAGAGGGAGGAGGGTCAGAGGGAGAAGCAGGCTCCCTGCTGAGCAGGGAACCCAATGCGGGACTTGATCCCAGGACTCCAGGATCATGACCTGAGCCAAAGGCAGTTGCTCAACCAACTGAGCCACCCAGGCGCCCTCGCCTTGTTACTCTTTTGCCAACTAAGCCAGAGAAGGCATGAGAGCAATGTTACTTAATCAAGTCAAGAAAACGTTTGTCAATGATCTTACAGGTATTTGCATGTTGCTGACCATTCTGGAGGAGCAGGCCATGGACTCACTATTGCTGGGCTCAGACAAACAGAATGATTTTATGCAATCAATACTTCACACCATGGAGAGGCAAGCAGATGGTAATAACCTTTATTTGCTAAATGCTTTTGAATACTGTGATGTGCCCTTTTAAAATACCAGTGTCATTGCAAGAATTTGGGTGTATGGTGTGGACAAAAGAAGAGAGAACGTTTGTATGGTTAAGTCACGGATTCAGATTTTTAAATTGGAAGGGACTTCTAGAGTTTAATTTCAGCACCTTACCTTCATAAAAGAGGAGACTGAAGCCCAGGGAAGTTAACTTACTGTTTCTTGTTGAAATGCCCAGTTAGTGGTAGAATCAAGACTAGCAGGGGGCGCCTGGGTGGCTCAGATGGTTAAGCGTCTGCCTTCGGCCCAGGTCATGATCCCAGAGTCCTGGGATCGAGCCCCACATTGGGCTCCTGGCTCAGCGGGGAGCCTGCTTCTCCCTCTCCCTCTGCCTCTCTCCCTGCTCATGCTCTCTCTCTCTTTCTCTCTATATCTTTGTCTCAAATGAATAAATAAAATCTTAAAAAAAAAAAAAAAAAGACTAGCAGATAAATTTCTAATGACATGGTAGTTAAAATTGTGGAGAAAGCCTTTCCTGTCCTAGGGTCTTCCTTTTTCCTGGTTCTTCATTTCACTTTGGTTCTCTAGGGTTCCACTGTCCAGCATGGTGACTCTTAGCCAAATGTGGCTATTTAAACTTAAAATTAAATAAAGCATTCAGTTTTGCAGTCCCACGAGCTATACTTTGAGTGCTCAGTAGCCACATGTAGCTGGTAGCTACTGTATTGACCAGTGTAGGTAAAGAACATTTCCATCAGCACAGAAAGCACTCTTGGACAGTGCTGTTCAGATAGTCTAGAAAACAGGGTGTAAAACTTGTCATCATGTTTATTATTAGACCCTCACTTTCTTTTGCTCATGGTTGTATCAGGCTGATCAGGGAGGATCTGTACTGAATATTTCTAATCTTGATGAAGGAGTAAATAAAGATCAAGGATGTCAGATCCTATGAAAATATAATGAATCATTTTTCCCCCACATTCACTTCTCTTTAGACAACTCCAGCGTGGATATAAAGTCATTTGTGCAAGATTCTAAAAGAGCTATGTAAATGTTACTCTTTGGGGGGGGGCCAAGGGGCTCATGTTCACCACAGATGGGGGGCCAGTTGGAGAGGAGGTAGCAGGTGGCACAGCCACCTTATACAGCATACCATCCTGGTCCACCGTCAGATCAGCAATGGCCTCAGCTCTATCACCCCCCAGGTTGACTCTGGCTCCTGCCTGACTCTGCCTGGCCACCACAACCCCTCGGGACCATTCAGAGGCATCACTGGAGGGTGTGTGGTTAGTTGAGCAGCTGGTAATTCTCTTCATATCCTCGCTGGTCACATTTCTTTGGTGGAAGGCATTCCTGACTCCTCTCATGAACACGTTTCATATTGCTTTGTGGTGTTCCTGGAGCCTGGATGGGTCGGCTTGTTCCTTGGGGCATCAGAAGGGGCTTCTCTGTGGCTCCCCTGCACCCCTCTCTGCTGCTGGCTGGGGTGCCCACATCTGCTGAGCTTCCTTTAGTACCTCTGAGCAGCTGTAGTAAGAGGCAGTGTCCTCCCTGCTGCCTTGGGAGCTGGTCCATCTCACGGCGCTCCTCCTGCTCATCCCGGAGCCTCCTCGACCATGGCCACCACCATCCCCAGCCCCGGTGCCACCCCACACCCAGCGCCCCCCCAGTGTTACTCTTTTTGTGATCACATACATTTTCTTGCTACATTATTGTTAAAGTTATTACTAATTCATTTACCAGCATTTACTACATTAATAGGTCATTTCTTTGTGCCTTGCCCATACAACTCTGTCTTCTCCGTTAATCCAGCTCCCCTAACGTTCTTCAAAACGGGAGTCATCTCTTTAAGAAGGCTTTCATAATGGTCTTCAAACTGACAACTTTGTTCCTTACTTGAGAGCTTACTGGCCATAAGACACTATCAGCTGCAGGAAAGGACAAGAAAGTGTATGGGAAGGTTTACACAAATGCCTGTGGTAAAGCAAGTAGAGTTTAAGAGCCCTGAAGGAAATACAGCAGGAAGTTCTCGGTGGGCAGATAACCTATCAGTAACTGAGTGAGTGGGAGCTCCTGTGTCCAGAAGAGTGCTAGAGAAGAGTAAGCGACCACGGAATGTTTGATGTAGTAGGAGCATTTGTGCTGGGCTTGAGGATGGAGGATTCTGGGAGGTGGTGCTGAAGGCATTCCGGTTCTTACTTGGGAAGAAGCCAGCTGTTTTTGCTGTAGATAGCATGTGATTATGGGAGTGTGAAAAATAAAGCTGGAAAGACACAATAGAGTAGGATCTTACAAGTAAGTGCGTGACTGAGGACCTTGAATTTTCTTGGAAGACATTGAAGAGCAATTGGAAGGCTTTTGAGTAGGGCAGTATTTTAATAGCCACTGCGTATCTGATAGAGGAGAGGGAAAGAACTGGAGGTAAGAGCTGCTCAGTAGTGGGAATTCCTACCATTTGGGTGAAAAGTAGATAACAAGGCCAAGTTGAGATATGGATGGATGAAGGGTGTGTGTATCTGCTTAGCCTAATATTAGCTAAGGTATTCAGTCCTTTACAGCAGCCAAATGGCACACATAATTCAGATCATGCTTAAAACCAGGATTTCTTGTATCATGGGCTTTGTTCGGTAGGAAGGGTTGTTTCAGGTATGGCAAACAGGGTGAGAGAGGTGAGTTTACCTAGACTCTCCATTTGTTCCCCATTAAAAAATTTCTTAGGGGTGTATAGTATTGCTTGAAAAAAATGCAAAATTAGCTTTAAAGCTTACTAGGTTTTTAAAACCTGTGGTTGGCAGCACTTTATTTTAAATTAGCTGCTTTGCTTTCAGTTTTTTTTGCTACCCAGATAAAGAATGCTTCATTCTCAGTATGTTTTAGCATCTTTTCTTGATCATTTTGTAATCCAGCAATTACTCCACTGTATTTCAGATGATAGTGTGGATCCTTTTTGGCCAGCATTACACTGTTTCATGGTGATTCTGGATCGCCTTGGATCTAAGGTCTGGGGTCAACGTATTGATCCTATTGAGGCATTTCAAACCATTATCAACAATGTGAGCTACAATAAAGAGATCCAAAATATACGGAACAGCTCTGTAAGGTTAGTTCAGTTAATGTGTCAGTATTTTAAAATAATCTCAATGAGGAAGTCTGTTGTAACTGACTTAGCAATAGGGTTTTTTCCTTTTTGCTTTTTTTTTTTTTCATTTCAGTAATTTCTGTTTATTCTTATTACTCTTTAAGGACCAAGTTAGAACCGGAGTCATATTTGGATGATATGGTGACTTGCAGCCAGATTGTATACAATTATAATCCCGAAAAGACCAAAAAGGTATAAAACATGTTGAGAATTCAGATGACCCTGTATTGCCTTTATATTGTGTAGGCGATATTGTACATAATTGGTTGAATTACTGATGTTATGATACATAGCTATTCTGAATCCACTGCTGCATAAGGGGTTTCTGACTGAACAGATGTACATGGGGAAAATGGACTCTCACTACAGGGTGCACACTTGGAAGATTAAGGGCAGTTAGGAAGGGTGGAAAGGTTATAGGATGAGGGAGATAAGTGACATGACTGGAATCGAAACCTGCTAATGGAAAGAAGACGAGGTGTACTCATGAATCCTTGACCTTGACATTGACCTATGTTTTCCATTTTGGGGGCGTATATGTGAACCAAAATAGGAAAACTAAGTGATATATTGTTTAATAGCTATGCATTAAATCCATCATGAATTCTGTTTGCTTATCTAATGTCAGTATTTCTTTCATTTTAGGATTCAGGGTGGAGATCAGCCATTTGCCCAGATTATTGTCCTAACATGTATGAAGAGATGGAAACATTAGCCAGTGTGCTTCAGTCAGATATTGGTCAAGACATGCGTGTTCATAACAGCACCTTTCTGTGGTTCATCCCTTTTGTTCAGTCCCTCATGGATCTTAAGGATTTGGGTGTGGCTTATATAGTAGAGGTTATTCATCATCTGCACTCGGAAGTCAAAGATGTCCTCAACCAAACAGATGCCATGTGTGACAAAGTTACTGAATTTTTTCTTCTGATTTTGGTGTCCGTGATTGAGCTGCATAGAAATAAAAAATGTCTGCATTTGCTGTGGGTTAGTTCCCAGCAATGGGTAGAAGCCGTTGTAAAATGTGCCAAGCTACCTACCACTGCATTTGCACGGAGTTCTGAGAAGTCATCTGGAAATTGCTCCAAAGGAACAGCAATGATATCATCTCTGTCATTGCATTCAATGCCATCAAATTCTGTACAACTGGCTTGTGTGCAGCTGATTAGAAGTCTCCTTAAAGAAGGTTATCAGCTTGGGCAGCAAACTTTATGTAAGCGATTCTGGGATAAACTCAATTTATTTCTGCGTGGAAATTTGTCTCTAGGTTGGCAGTTGAGTACTCAGGAAACCCATGAGTTACAAACTTGTTTAAAGCAAATTATTAGAAACATAAAAGTCAAAGTACCTCAATGTAACACTTTCGTGGATCTGAGTCCTGCAGGTAAAAGCTCTCCGGCATCTTACAGTAAAGAAGAAAGTGAACAAATAGAGAGGAAGTCCAATAAAGATCTACACTGTCTGGAAAACTCCAGCCCAACATTTTCTAAAGAACCAATGAAAGCTGAGGCATATCAAATACAAGAGAATATATTGATTAAAGCAAGTAACACGACAGAAGAGGATAATGAGCAAAATTATATAAAAGATTGGAAACTAGAAGATCATCTCTCAGCCGAGTCATGCATAAAGAAGAGTAGTAAAAACCTTTTCACTGAAAGAGCTCAAGATCAAGTTAAAATAAGTACAGGGAAGCAGAAGTCTGTGAAAGAGAATTGTACTTCAAGAAATGTACTGCAGAATTGTACTTCAAGGAATGGTCCAGAGAGGGGATGTGACAGAGGAATAATAATGTCAACACATTTGTTGACCGACTCTAGCACTGATTCTCCGGAGAAGCCATGCACATCAAATGAGGATTTCTCTTTCAAGGATGATGCTCTTGGCAAAACCTCAAAATCAAAAACTAAGGCACATAAAAATGAAATTTGTGCTAAGTTATCACATGTAATAAAGAAGCAACACAGGAAAAGTACTTTGATCAATAATACTGGTAATTTAGAGGAAAACCTAACTGTGTCTAACATTGACAGTTTCTATTCAAGGAAAGATTCAGGAGGTCAGAAAGGGGATGGCTTCATGCACAATCTCTCTTTAGACCCTCTCGGCATTCTGGATGATAAAAATGGGGAACAAAAATCTCAAAACAGTTTATTGCTGAAAAAGAAACAACTGAAGAGTGAAGAGTTAGATATTTTCTCTTCCTATGAAAACAGCTATCAAATACAGGAATGTCACATTGATGATAAAGATTTGGTCTCGTTTACAGAAGTGACCAACACTTTCGGGAAGAAAATGTCTCCCTTCAAAGATCCTGTGACTGTTCTTGAATCAAAAGATAAGGAAATTAGCAAGAATACCAGTCAGATGTCTTCTCACTTGAGAGAACAGGCTCCTGGCCTCAGTCCTCAGTCTGACACCTTAACAGATTCTCAGATAGACAGAGACCTCCACAAGTTATCTTTAATAGCTCAAGCCAGCGTTATTAAGTTCCCATCAGATTCAACTCAAAAAAGCTCATCCCAGCTACAAAGAAGAGTGAAAGATGACAGAAGATGTTTCCCGGCTGACCAGAATAATACTGGGGAAGCCTGTCGGGGCCAGATTATTATTATTTCAGATTCTGATGATGATGATGATGATGAAGGAATTCTGGGTTTTGAGAAACATATTAAACAAGATAAAATAGGCATCAAGAAAGAATGCCCGGAGCAGCATATTTCAATAGCTAGTACGAATGTGGAAAAGAAGTTAATAAAGGAAGAGGAGACAAAGTCCGTTTTGCAGTTTGAAGAATCAGATTCTCAGTTTTTTGAGTTTGAAAGTCCATGTGAAGTGTTTTCAGTTTGGCAAGATCAGGAAGCAGAGAAGAATTCAGTTCAAGAGAATGAAAAAAATTCTTGTTCAACTGGCATAGCTGATACCACGAATGATTGGGGTTATGAGACAGATTATGTATCTGAAGAGGTTATTAAGAAGGTAGCAGAGGGCATTGAAAAACACACAGAACCACAGAGTAGTATTTCTGTTGGGGAATTTTGTGAAATTGAAGTAAAAAAACGTAAGAGAAAACGATTTGAAAAACCTATGGCTGAAGGTCCTCTAAGGTCTTCACCTTCTGATAGAAACGAGAACGAGCCTGATATTCTTAATGAGAGAGGTCTGACTGAAAATGATTTTAAAAGTATGGACCTAAGGACAGCGAGTCCCAGTTCAAGTGTTCAGAGAGACAAAGACACTACGGTTTCACTGAAGAAGTCTTCTCCAAAGCTTCGTACTTATTCCAAACCCATTAGAAGAGTCCCACTTTCTAAAACTCCTAAGAAAACACATTCAGATACCAAGAAAGGGCAGAATAAAAGTTCAAATTATATAAGTTGTAGGACAACTCCTGCTATAGTTCCACCAAAGAAATTTCGCCAGTGCCCTGAACCAACTTCAGCAGTTGAGAAACTTGGTCTGAAGAAGGCTCCTCGTAAGGCATTTGATTTGTCTCAGCGATCTCTAGAGTATTTAGTTCAGTTACGCGACCATGGTAAAACTGTTGGAGTGGTTGATACTAGCAAAAAGACTAAGTTAATTTCTCCTCAGACTCTCTCTGTCAGAAACAATAAGAAACTGCTGACAAGTCAAGATCTTCAGTTACGAAGGCAGATGAGACCCAAATCACAACAAAATAGACAAGGACTTTTGGATTATGAAAATAAAGATACTACAAGAGCAGGGCTGTGTCCAGCACAGAATTCTGACATACTTGTCCCAGAATCAGATGGTTCAGATTATAGTTATAAAGGAGGAACTGAGGTGGTTGCTAACAACACTGGGAAACAATTAATAAAATGTGTGTCTTCAGAACCAGAACCCATGAAAACAAAATATGTGTCTCAGGTGACCAGTGATGCTTGTCTTTTGAACCAGTCTGCTTCTGTTGTGTTGAATGGAAGAATACCAACAAAGGAAATCATTGTCTCTGCTTCAGCAGACCCCTTAGGAGGTGGTGACCCAACAGTACATCATTTAGAATTGACAGTTTTGAAAGACGGAGAGCCTGAATCCAACAGTGATACAGAAGATGAGAATATATTTCTAACACAGCACGATCCTGAAGATATGGATTTGTGTTCACAGATGGAGAATGGTAATGAGAAACTCATTGAAGTAGTTCATGGCAAAGATACAGCTCAGGTGGAAGAAGATTCTGTAAGTCGGCCTCAGTTGGAATCTTGGAGTAGCACAAAATGTAAGTACAAAGATTGTGTTGAAACCCCGAAAAACCAGGGTGACTACTGCTCAAAACACTGTGAAGCTAAAGCAGCAGATGAAGATGTATTTCGTAAACCTGGCTTGCCCCTTTCTGCATCCAAGCCTTCGAGACCTTCCACTGCTAAGATTTTTAGCTCAAGTAGTACTTCACGAATTGCTAATCTTTCCAAGTCTTTGGAAAGTGCCTCTGCACTTCCACCAGCTCTAAAAAATAAGTCAAATGGGGCACAGGCTGTTTTGAAAGTCCCACAGCCAGCCTCTGTGTTGTCTCCAAAGCCAGTGGGTGAAGTGAAGAGTTTGTGCAATGTTCTTCATCCTCAGACTCCAAGTAATTCCATCAGGCAAGGTTACAAGCTAACGTTTGGTGAAAGCAAATCCTTCTCAGCTTCCTCTCCAGTCCACATTCTCTTGTCATCGCAGTCCATCTCTGACACCTTTGTCAAAGAGGTCTTAAAATGGAAATACGAAATGTTTGTGAACTTTGATCAGTGCGGGCCCCCAGCAAGCCTTTGTCAGTCCATCTCAAGACCTGTGCCTGTCAAATTTCAAGATTGTGGAGATTATTTTAATGTTTTTTTCCCTTTGATGATATTGAATACTTTTGAAACAGTAAGTATATTTTAGTTGTATACCTGCTGAGACTTTGAAGTTGCTTCTTTTCTTATTTCCGTAGTGATTAGAGTACAGTTAAAATAACTGACTTAGTTTTGATTTAGATGTAGCTTTTAGATTACGTGTTGAATGGGCATTTGTGCCAGACGCTGTTCTAGGTGCTGTGATACAGAGGAAGCACTTTCTCAACCTCTGCCCTTCTGGGGCCTCCCGACACAATTCAGAGTGCTAATGAACCAAGTCCAGAGGGAGCACAGGAGTGTTTTTTGATACAGAGGTAAGGGAAGACTTACCAGGAGATGGTCTCCCTTCTGCATTTATTCTTAAAGTAATATAGACCTTTTTATAGTTTTCTTGAGGAGGTGGCATGGGATAAATTACATTGAACAACACAAAGCAGTAAATCCTGAATTTCTCTTTATATAATAATCTGTCTTTCCAGGTTCTTACTCATCCTAGCGGTTGCTCTCTCCCTTTAACTGTCTCCCCTACCTCAACACATCCCATTCTGGTTCTTCTATCTTCCTTACTCCCCCTGACTAGGATTGCCAAATAAAATACAAGATTCCCAGTTAAATTTGAACCTCAGAAAAACAGCCAATACTTTTAAGTGTAAGCATCCAACTGCATTTTGAAAGATGTTTTTGGTATTCTCAAAGCAGGTTAGGGGTCAGAAGTTAGATTTTTACTTTTTCAAGTTACTTAAAAAAAAAAAAAAAAACAACACGAGTATGTAACAGCCTGAGTTTCTTAAAAACAAAACCAAGAACACTGAAGTAAATATTTGTGTATTCATTCACCTGCAAGATATTTGGGTGGCTGATATGTGGCAAGTTTTATTACAGGCCTGGGGGGTAAAGTGGTGAACATGGCAGACTGGCAGAACATGGCCTCTGCCTTCTGGATGTGATCGTTTCAGATCAGGGGAAGGATGCTAGTGTGATCTAGCACAAAGGGCATAGGGCACTTCTGACAAAAAGGTTTGACAGTCTCTGCAAGCGATAGTATTTACACTGGGACCAGAAGGAATCCACCATGGGAAGTATATTCCAGACAGGGTGAGAGCAGATACAAGTAGGTGGGATCAAGCTTAGTGTGTTGAAGGAAAAGGAAATGTATCATACGAAGGGGCAAGTGTGCTAGATAAGATCATCAAGTAAATTGTGAATATTTGTTATAAAGCTTGAATCAAAGCATCCTTAAAATATACTTTTATATCAATTTATGCCCCCAATTTTAGCCATTGTTTTAAGATTTATTTTACTAGTATTTCAAAAGCATTAGAAACAACTAATTGACAAAGGATCTTTAATACCTCCATAACAGCAAAGTGAAATACTGATTTAGTATTAGGAGAATTATTTTCTTCCCATAGAAGAATTCTTAGCTCAGTGAGCAGTGTATGTAGTTAAGTAAGCTGGGGAAAATAAATTTTACTCATTTTGAAGCTTATTTTTTAATCTTTATTCTTGCTGGAAAGCACTAATTTGCTGAGAAGCCATTCACGGCCCTTAAATTTAGGACAGACATGTTTTTTATATATTTTTCCCTGAATTAAGAGGTAATCCATGGGGCGCCTGGGTGGCTCAGTTGGTTAAGCGACTGCCTTCGGCTCAGGTCATGATCCTGGAGTCCCTGGATCGAGTCCCGCTCGGGCTCCCTGCTCAGCAGGGAATCTGCTTCTCCCTGTGACCCTCCCCCCTCTCATGTGCTCTCTCTCATTCTCTCTCTCAAATAAATAAATAAAATCTAAAAAAAAAAATAAATAAAAATAAAAAAAAAAAAAAAAAAAAAAAAGAGGTAATCCTATATTCCTCTATAAGATCTCTTCCTTTCAGGACATTTTTGTAGCTCTAGTCTTTTCAAAACAGAATAGGCACAAGTTCCATTTATACATACCCAGAGTTGTTTTTTTTTTGTTTTTAAATTTTTTTTTTTAAGATTTTATTTGTCAGAGAGACCGCGCACAGGCAGGGGGAGAGGCAGGCAGAGGGAGAAGCAGGCTCCCCGCCAAGCAAGGAGCCTGACGCGGGACTCGATCACAGGACCCTGGGATCATGCCCTGAGCCAAGGGCAGACGCCTGACCAACTGAGCCACCCAGGCGTCCTCATACACAGAGTTTATTTTTTATGTTTTATTTTTTATTATTTGAGAGAGAGCACGAGCTAGTGGAGGGGGTAGCTGAGGGAGAGGGAGAAGCAGGCTCCCCACTGAGCATGAAGCCTGACATGGGGCTCTATCCCAGCACTCCGAGATCATGACCTGAGCTGAAAGCAGACACTTAACTGACTGAGCCACCCAGGCACCCTATACATACACAAAGTTTGAAATAGTCAAATACTTTTGTAAAAAATGGCATGCACCCCTCACCCTCTCAGTAACCATTTTTTATTCTTAATGGATCCTTTTGATAGCTACTTCCATATTTCTAAATAACATGTCACTCTTGTGACTTCTTAACTTTTCAGTTTTGGGCATCTTCCATTGCTTTAGGAAGTACCCTTTCTTCCATCCCTACATTCTCACATAACCTTTCCTGTTCCCTCATCCTCATTACAGAGTTATTTTATGATTTTTAGGTCAGTGTTTTGTTGTTTGACTTTATAAAAGGTATCCACAGCTAAGTCATGTAGTATGCTGTAACTGCTTTTCCTTTCCTTCCCAACTCTTGGTTTTCTCTGGATTTATTGTCTCATTTAATTTTCTATATACTTGCAACTAAATTAGCTTCAGACTCTTTTGGATGTTTAAATCTCTCATGATCAGGTATATGAAGTAATCTATAAGTTTCGTATTCTTGGTTTATGATGGTTATCCTGAAGTACTCACCATCCTCATCCCGGGGCTTGCATTTCTTTCTTTCCTGTGTTGGATCTCTGTCTCTTGGGCCCCTAGTTATCTTTCTTGGTTATTCCATCATTTTAGCAAAGCACAGCCTTCCAGCTTCCTGAAAAAAGGATGTGTGGATGATAAAGTTTTGAAACCTTGCATGTCTTAAAATTTCTTAAATTTTCTCACTTTTTCTACTTTCCATCTCACTTTTCTTTTTCTACTTTATCAGAGGACTTCTCACCTGTTGATTTTTTTTTTTTTTTTTAGCATACTTTTAGTTTCATGGGACTCTTGTTCTCTGAGGATTCCATTTTATAGGATCCTGTTCTTCTTTTCATGAGCGTGGCATTTTTTTAATTTATTTTTTATTTTTTTAAAGATTTTATTTATTTATCTGATAGAGACACAGTGAGAGAGGGAACACAAGCAGGGTGAGTGGGAGAGGGAGAAGCAGGCTTCCCAAGGAGTAGGGAGCCCGATACGGGGCTCGATCCCAGGACCCTGGCATCATGACCTGATGGCAGACACTTAATGACTGAACAACCCAGGCACCCCATGGCATCTTTTTATTGTCTGAAGTTTGTTAACGATAATTTTAAAGTCAGTTAAGAAGTTCTCTTTGCATAGTTCCTGTTTCCCCAATTGCTTTTTGCCTGTTCGTTTTAGTGTATACAGACCTTTTATATTAACTCTTTTCTTCAGATAGCTGATGATTTTGGGTGATCTACTCACAATTAAGAACAGGATACTGAAAAGCAGATAGGAGCATTATTCCTAGTAACCAAAAAGGGGAAACAACCCAGATATCCACTAGCTGAAGAATGGACAAAATGTATTAATGTCCATACAATGAAATATTCAGTTGTAAAAAGGAATAAGCCATTATCTGCTATTTTTACATGTTCATTGATGAACCTTGAAAAATTATATATAATAATGTAATATAAGTATATAATATGTATTGTTATTGTTACTATTATGCTAATACCTGAAACTAATATTATATGTCAGGTACACTTAATTAAAAAGAAAATATTTTGGGGCACCTGGGTGGCTCAGTCGTTAAGCGTCTGCCTTCGGCTCAGGTCATGGTCCCAGGGTCCTGGGATCGAGTCCCACATCGGGCTCCCTGCTCGGCAGGAAGCCTGCTTCTCCCTCTCCCACTCCCCCTGCTTGTGTTCCTGCTCTCGCTATCTCTCTCTCTGTCAAATAAATAAATAAAATCTTTAAAAAAAAAAAAAGAAAATATTTTGGTAAGTGAAAGAAGTCAGGTATGGAAGGCCTAATATATATTGTATGATTCCATTTATATGAAATGTCTAGAATAGGTAAATCCATAAAGACAGAAAGTAGATTATGGGTTACCAGGGGTGGAGGAGGAAAGGACACTCCCAATAGGTATAGGGTTTATTTTGAGATGATGCAGGTGTTCTGGAATTAAATAGTGGTGATAGCTCCACAAAACAGTGAATATACTAAAAACCACTGAAAGGGTACACTTTAAAATAGTGAATTTTATATTGTATGAAATACATCTCAGTTTGTAAAAACACTATAAAAAAGGGATGAATTTAAATAGTGACAGGTTAAAAGAGATGCTTAGGATACCTGAAGCTCCTGCTTTGCTAAAATGATCCTTTTTATTGCACTGTGGGGAAGTTAAATGTGATCTGAAGGACACCATAACATGGTGAAACCCAGCATTAGTTTCATTCTTTATGTGAAAATTGTATGCTTCGGTGTAGTTCCAAATCTGTATTTTGTTGTATATAAGATTAAAAAGAAGCTCTGAGTGAAAGGGTAGGCTAGTTAACCATTGGCGTTTTGTTGTAAAGCCCCATTCCCACCCTTATCAGTCAGTATCTTTATAGTCTTTTTTCTCTCTTAAGTGAGGTCAGATTCCCCAAAGAAGAATCTTCAGATATTTTGCCTCGAAAGGGTAGGCCTGACGGGCAGCTGACCATGGGATGAGGGTGGGGGACAGGGAAGGGTCCCAACATTCAGTGTATAAACATTTGCCTAATTTCCCTCTTTGTCAGTGCCGTGTCTCCACTGTGCCTGCTTTCCCCACTGCTGTCCCCAAGGCTGAAGACTGTTTTTTTTACCCTCTCCACAGACAAAATCTCTGCAGTATTTTGTGGGTTGCAGAGAGGGGCTGTCTCTC